ATCAATCTTTTGGTAGTGACAATGGTTCTTCAACAAATTTATTAGACGAGTACAATCTAACTTCTACGAATCAGCAACGATTAAAACCTAATCGTAAATGCAATAATTTATTCGACCCCGATGCTAATAAGAATAACGAAGAAAAATTTATCACTTATCTTCCCCATAGTGGATTTCATAATCAACGTATTTCTTTGGAGAACGCAATCTTTCTAGCATGGTATACAAATCGCACATTGATTGTGCCACCAGTTATACTCGGAAGACAAATCCCCTGGTCACCAAATCAATCCTTTGCCATTCGTCTTGCGAGGTTAAACGCCACCAAAAATTTCGACGATTGTCACTCTTTCCTTGCGAGTAAGCAATATACTCAGTGCATTCGAGAATATCAATCCTATACATTATTCCCATGGGACGAATTAATGGATCTGAGTTCCATTCGCAATCACGTTTCGATAATAAATCGACAAGATTTCAACTCCCAAGGTTTGTATAAATTAATCAACATCACGGATCCTGAAAAGGAAATATATTACCCGGAAGAAAAATCAAGATATGATATTCAGTTATATGATCAAGAAGACGCGTTAAACCAAGGACCAAAAACTCCGAAATTTGAACGGCAACTACCTATTTGCAATTTACTAAATCGTGAAGAGAAATTAATACATTTTTACAGCCTATTTAGTTCTAATAGAATAAAAACAAGTCTTAACGAGAATCAAATATTCAAAGAAATGATTCAGAGAAAATTAGTATTTGGACATCCGATCTTAATAAATGTGACTAAAGAAATAACGCGAAAATTGGGTGGATCTGAAAAATACATCGGACTACATTTACGCGTCAGCGATGGCGGATTCGAAATATATAAAATGGAAACAGCTCAATACATGATCCAAGCGATTAAGAATGAGGAGGGAGTCAATCAAGAACCTGTCAACGAAAATAATGATAGTAATGATGATGACGATAGCGCTATTGACAAATCGAGATGCGCGAATAACACCCAATATTTTAATAAAAATATATTTCTTGCTACCGATGGTCAACCAAATGATCCTGCTATTCAACGAATTTTTACAACATTTCCTTGCATTTTCACCATCAATGATTTCTCAACTGAATTGCAATTATTGACGAAGGCAAAAAATAACAGGGACGATTCATCTTTATATAAATATTTTTTACCAATGGTGGATCTGATAGTATCTGCATGTGGCAGTAAATTCTTTGGAACTTACAGCTCGACATTTTCCTCTTATGCTCTAAAATTACATCAAGAGTGGGTGCCAGATGGTACAGGAAAAATGGTGTATATTGGGCATCGATATTAATAGATTTAAATTTTTCTTATAATATTTATATTTATAAAAGAAATTTTAATTATATTTTCTTATTAATAAAGATAAAATTATTTAAGAAAATATTTAGAATCTTAGTAATAATAATAAAAAAAATATATAAATAAGATATATTATTAGAATCTATATCTTTAGAATTTTTAATTTCTTAATTAGTTTAATAATATACTATAAAATTTCATTATCAAATAAAAATTACTGATTAATCTTAATATTATCAGCTTTAATATAATTTAATAAATAAATAAATAAATATATAATATTATACAGAAAAATTATTATATAAAATATAATATTAATAGTAATTATTAAATTATCATAAAAAATTACAATAAATATTATATTTAAATAAAACTAATTATTATTATTTTCTATATAAATTATATAATATAATATTATTAATTCTCTTTAAGTTATATTTTTTATAATTATTTAATTAAATTTTCTAATTATTAAGTAATATAAGCTTTTAATTATAAATATTTATTAATAATAAATATTAATAATAATACTTAAAAATAATCAGAAAAAATAAGATATCTATTATATATATTTATAATTTAAAATAATTATATGTAAAATTATAAACTTTTATTTTATAAATAAACATATAATAAATTTATATTAAAAATTTATATAAAGAAATTAACTTATAATATTTTAAATATGAAATTTATTATTAAAAAATATTAAAATTCTATATTAAATTTCTAGATATATTAAAGTTCTAAGTTATTAAATAAAACTTTATTATATTGAAAGAATTTGATATAATAAATTTATTAATATATATAAAAAGATAGAAAAGTTTTATATATAACTCTTTAACTTGAGATTATATCAGTTTAATTAAAATTAGAAATAATTATTAAATATATATGCTTTTATATATAAATAAAAAAAGTAGAAGCAAATTCATTATTTTATAATTAAGAAATTAATTTTTTTGTCAAGCATAATAAAATAACTAGAAGAAAATAAGCTGTAAAAATTGATAATATTTTATTTTTGCTTCTTGAAAAAATAACAGAAATATAACTCAAATTTATGAAGAATTGATGAATATAAAAGAGAAATAAATATTGTTTATTAGTATAATTAGATGCTGAATTACTATATTCAAAGATAAGAAAGAAGAAATTAAAGATAAAACTTATTTTAATTATTCTTATAAAGTAGTAATATCAGAAAAAATTGTTAGAATTAAGAATTTTATTAGTAAAAATCCATATATTTCTATTAAAAAATTAGTTAATAAAGTTAGTATTTTTTATGAAAGAATTTTTTACATTTTGCATGAAGAGCTGAGTTTCTACAAACTCTATACAAAATGAATTTTCTATAAATTTTTACAGGAATATAACAAAATCATGTTGAAATTTCTATTAAAATTTTAAATGAGTGATATAAAAATATTATTATTAGTAATGAAATATAGATATATTTCTTTATTATTTTAAATAAAAAAGTGAATAAGTTATAATTAAAAAAGGATAAGAATAGATTACAAATAGTAAAGATAACTCAAAATTCAAAAAAAGAATATTTTATATTTTTTATAGATAGAGTTATTATATAATTTATAATTTTAAAAGAATAAACAATTAATATTAATCTTTATATTAATAAGATACTATCAAAAGTTTTTTCAAACTTTATGAAAAAAAGGGATAGAATAACTATTTGTAACATCATGCTTCATTATAATAATATTACAGTAGAATTGTAATAAAATATCTTTGTAATGAATGAGTGAAACTTTTTTCTCATTTACTATATAATCCAGATCTTACTTTCTGTAATTTTTTCTTATTCTCTCAAATAAAAAAGTACTAAAGGGAAAGAGATTTGATAAGATCAAAAATTTGGCAAGAACTATTTAGACAGTTATTAAAGATATCTCAAAAGAAAACTATGAGAACTCTTTGAAATTGGTTAGAATATTATATAGAGCTTAATAGAGAGTACTTTGAAGGAATGAAATAGTTGTATTAATAATTATTATAACAGTTCTGAAAATAAATATCCACATGCAAAACTTTTCAGCTCTCTCACATAATAAAGAAAATTAATAATTTTAAATTGATTTATATTAATCTTTTAATTAGTAATTAATAATTCTAATCTATAATACATAATATATTATAGTTTGAAGTATTTAATTAGAATTGAATATTTTATATTTTTATATAGGATTATAATAAATTAATCAATTCTTAAAAACAAGACCCTTATAAGCAAATATTATAATGTATTTTTATAGAGATATAAACAAATATATCCAATACATATAATATTTTTTTCATTTCTCCTTGAGTTCGGATTTTTTGCCGACTGATTAAAAATTTGTGCGCTTCTATTGGATATAGATCACATACTATGCTTTAACGCATCTCCTATTATGTTTGCGAATATTCGGTTCCTGATCATATGATAACTTACCAATAAGGATACGCAAATTATAATGTGACGGCAACTATTAATGATTTTTCAAAGTTAGGATTAGGGTTAAATATAAGATAAGGAAGAGATTATATATAAAATTGTCGACATTTTTTAGAGCTTCAAGTTAGATTTTGACTTCTCGTTTCTTTTTCGGATTTGTTTTGCCGGGCTGATTAAACATTCTTATTGGATTGTGTTTTGCATGTGATCGCGAACCAGATTCAAAAAGTACAGTGGCTCGCAGAAGAAATGCAACACGAAAAGTTTTACGACATTGATTTTGAATACCTGGTTCCTATACGCATTTTAAGGCTAATAACCTTAAAAATCCTAAAAACTATATTAATGCTGCCATTTAAAGAAATTGAGTGATCTACATGAATATTTTTAATTAGTGAATTTAACTCTAAATAGTTTTTTTTATCAGGAGGATTGATGCAGATTGACCTAATAAAAATGTGCTTCCTAGGGAGAACTACCTACATACCAATTCTCAACTAAATTGGTACCAAATTCGTTGAGTTATTTGATCCCGAAGTACCAGATGAATGTTAGCAATGATTTTTTTTCTAGCATTCATCTGGTACTTCGGGATCAAATAACTAACGAATTTGGTGTCAATATATCGGAGAATTGGTATGTAGATTGTTCTCCCTAGGAAGTACATTTTTTATTAGGTCTGATAACAAAACTATTTATAGTTAAAATTTCACTAATTAAAATTATTCATGTCGATCACTCAATTTCTTTAAAATGGCAGCATTAATATAGTTTTCAGGATTTTTAAGATATTCTCTAGGTTATTAACTATAAAATGAGTATCACTAGAATTTTTTGTTGTAAAACTTTTCGTGTTGCATTTCTTTTGTGAGCCACTGTATATTCCTATCTCGATTTAATAGAGAAAAGTGCGTATATATGGAATTCAAAATTATTATTGTGCTTATGCACATAGTTTTTTTGTTGTACATGTATATCGATATCTCAAGTTAATAGACATAATTATTGGACACATGCGCTTACCGATACAAGAAATTAAATACAACTTTTTAGTGTAACATTAATTCTTGGCAATGTAATACAATATCGATATATTTATAAATGAGTTGAAAAGATATTATCGTTATAATAACTACATTGTTATTGAAATTTATTATTGTTACTATACAATATTTTGAATGCTTCCAAATGTTATTGAGAAAATTAGTTAACCTTGCAATTCATTTGTTTATTATAGTTTTTATCTGTATAATAATAAGCATTCTATATTATAACAAAGAATCATTTAGCAGGTACATCAATGGTTCTTCAACAAATTTATTAGACGAGTACAATCTAACATCTACGAATCAGCAACGATTAAAACCTAATCGCAAATGCAATCATTCATTCGATACCAATGCTAATGAGAATAACGAAGAAAAATTTATCACTTATCTTCCCCATAGTGGATTTCATAATCAACGCATTTCTTTAGAGAACGCAATTTTTATAGCATGGTATACAAATCGCACATTGATTGTGCCACCAGTTATACTCGGAACTCCAATCTTCTGGTCACCAAATACATCCTTTGCCATTCGTCTTGCGAGGTTAAACGCCACCAAAAATTTCGATGATTGTCACTCTTTCCTTGCGAATAAGAAGCAATATAATCGGTGCATTCGAGAATATCAATCCTATACATTATTCCCATGGGACGAATTAATAGATCTGAGTTCCATTCGCAATCACGTTTCGATAATAAATCGACAAGATTTCAACTCCCAAGATCTATATAAATTAATCAACATCACGGATCCTGAAAAGGAAGTATATTACCCAGAAGAAAAATCAAGATATGATATTCAGTTATATGATCAAGAAGACGCGTTAAACCAAGAACCAAATGTTCCGAAATTTGAACGGCAATTACCTATTTGCAATTTACTAAATCGCAAAGAGAAATTAGTACATTTTTACAGCATATTTAGTTCTAATAGAATAAAAATAAGTCTTAACGAGAATCAAATATTCAGAGAAATGATTCAGAGAAAATTAGTATTTGGACATCCGATCTTAATAAATGTGACTAAAGAAATAACGCGAAAATTGGGTGGATCTGAAAAATACATCGGACTACATTTACGCGTCAGCGATGGCGGATTCGAAATATATAAAATGGAAACAGCTCAATACATGATCCAAGCGATTAAGAATGAGGAGGGAGTCAATCAAGAAACTGTCAATGAAAATAATGATAGTAATGATGGTGACGATAACGTTATTGACGAATCGAGATGCGCGAATAACAGTCAATATCATTTTAATAAAAAAATATTTCTTGCTACTGATGGTCAACCAAAAGATCCTGCTGTTCAACAAATTTTTACAACATTTCCTTGCACTGTCACCATCAATGATTTCTCAACTGAATTGCAATTATTGACGAATTTAAAAAATGAAAGGGACAAATCATCTTTATATAAATATTTTTTACCAATGGTGGATCTGATAGTATCTGCACGTGGCAGTGAATTCTTTGGAACTTATGGTTCGACATTTTCCGCTTATGCTCTAAGATTGCATCAAATATGGGTGCCAGATGGTACGGGAAAAATTATGGATATTAGGCATCAAAATTCATAGTTGAAAAATAATTTAAATCTTTATCGTTATATTATCTACATATATAAATCACCGTTCATTACATTACTCTCAATGGAGTACGTGATATTTTACTTTGTATTCCTGTATTTATTTGTATAGTGCATTAAGAAAGTCTGGACGACTTCACGTAAAATAATTTCATAATGAAAACACAAAATTAGATGTAAGATAGCTTATCAGAAGCTGAAAAACCAAAGATTTTTTATTAATAATAAATTTAATAGATAGACATTTCCATTTTTTTCAATTACAAACCCACAACGTTTTTACATTGATCGCACCAAATTCGCTAAAGTGCTTACTGGGATTTTTCTCATTCCTAATTTCAGCGAAGTGTTTTCTAAATTTCAACATAAAACGGACTACTCATTATTTTCTGAAAGCAAAAAAGGCTTGTTTTACCTCCTAACCAAAATCCATCCAGGCAAAGACTTTTGGAATTCATCATACTGGCCATTTCATACTTTACAGTATTCCTGAACAACTGAAAAGCTGTTACATCAGTAAATGCTGTTCAGTTCCAGTTTTCGTTAAGATATTTTCGCGACCGTTATATACGTTTTTGTTTGTGTTCTTCCATAAGCATTGGTGTCGTTCCTGCACGATTTTTTTAAAGTCAAGTTGAGTTAATGCTCTCGATGATATTGCAGGATCTTTTATATTTGTCTTGGAGCTTTCAGATGAGATTTTTTTAGGATGACTACTACGCTTTCGGTGAGCTGCACTGCCATTTTCTGTTAGTTTGGAAATTTTATAGTATATTATAGAACTTGGAAGACCTGTTCGTTTTTCGTACTTCTTTAGCATTTTGTATCCTGTTGTCCCATAATTGTTTAAATGGCTTTTGCATATATATTTTGACGAATGTCCATATTCGTTGATTATTAAATAACGGCTACAAAAGATTTGACTGTCTATAAATACACTTAAAACGGAAAAGTTATATCGTATGTTCGCGAAATAACGCCCATCGCGTTATTCGAATCACGGCCCGCATTAGGCCGAAATTCCAAATTATACCCCTGCGCGTTATTTCGAGAAAATACCAGTACGAATTTTTAATATTCTTACACAAAATTGTCAACAGAAATTCATGTAGAAATAGAGGTCATATTCAAATATAAATATATTTTAATATGTATTCGATTTATTCGAATATATATTTCCCCGGATAAAATTTCGAAGTTGCCCAACATTTGGTCTGTTTTCTGAAACAGAATCTCAATAATAACCATCCGAGAACATTATTTGGCATTGTAAGTCAAATTCCTTCTATACGAGACCTTATCATGGCTCTTCTCACAAAATAGCAGTTCACAGCTACAATCTCGTACATAACCAAAACTATAAATATCACAACGTTAATGTCTAGCCTTCCTTTTAGCACTTCTGAACTCATATAAGGAAGTAATCCACAAATTTCTTGGTTATATTTTCTTTATTGGTTGGAATACTAGGTCCAAAATCAGCAATTTGTGGAAGGTTATCTATTGATTCAAGAGCATTATTAATATAGTTCCAGGAGGAGAGTCACGATGTAGAAACTTTTCTTCGTGAATGGTCATTCTTAAATATTTAATTTTGATTCCAAAGTTACGGAATTTACTAAATTTTGCATGAGACTTACATGTATTGAGTATTCATTTGTAGTGGATTCCGATCTTATCATATGCATTTAAGAGCAGTTTGAATCTGCTTTTGAAATATTTGATTGTATAAAGAAAACAAAAGCAATTTTCACTTTGTAAAATGTAGCTTCTGAATAAATTTTGACGTAATTTGCTTTGAATTGTGTAATAATTTCAACGCCATTAAATTTCTCCATATCATTTACTGTATATTTATTTTCTTCATGGTCCAATGGTTCATCATACCAGGTTGTTTTTATAAATTGACCCAAAACCTCCTTTTGCAAGATATTCAACGTTAGTAAATCTTTCAAAAGGAAATTCCATTCATTAATTTATAGCGTTTTTTTTTATTAGATTATCGATATCCTTATCTCCGTTAGACAATTCATCGTTATAAATTCGTTTTCAGAACAGTTCTCATTTCTTTGACAATAGTAGCATTGCTGTAATCATGAGCATTCGATCCTATCTTTGAGTTCACTTTTAAATCGATATATGCTTGACAACGATAATAAAAAAACGAGACGAGCTAATTATATACATGTATACCTTGCAATTTGATTGGTTTACAACTTAAAAAATCGCGTGCCCGTAAATTTTTCTTGTGTTACCGTTAGCATTAGGCTTCTCTAAAATCGTACTCTTTCCGAATTGACAAAGAAAGAATAAAAAATATATAAGAGCTAATAAAAGAAATGAAAATAAAATAAGAAAGTATAAATATAACAAAACACAACCGATGGGTAGAACTTTGACAACTTAAAGTGGATCATCCGATCAATCGCATATTTAATAATAATTTTGATACATTGTTTGAACCATTTGGTCACAGTATTCTGACCATTTCGTACAATTGTTTTGACTTGGAATAATTTTTTAGCCCATCGCTTCAAAACATAGACCGAAACTTAGACCAATAATCAATGTATATATAGGCGTGCTCTTGAGCCTTAATCCAGTCAAGTCCCTATAAAAAAATTCCCGGAAAAGATTCAGATTAATGTTCACTTTTCTGATTTTAATTCCGAAAATACTCAGATATGTAATCAATTTTTTTTAGGGAGTTATAATAAAATTCAAAGAAATTGAAAAGCATTACCTCTTGCTTATAGTATTAACTTCGAGTTTTATCACTTTACCGAACAGTGCTTCGTTATTTGATAAGAGACCTCGATCTCTTGTCTCAATGAAACTTTTCTCGTCAACTTAAAAGAAGTCTATTGTTAAAATCACACATAATCGACTTCATTTGCAACATTATCCTCTTGCCCCTTTCGGATTATCTCTCATATTACATTAATGCTTAGAAATTCAGTTAAAGAAACCCTTTTACGTCAAAGAAACCTATTCTAATTTCACACAACATGTTAATTCTGCCCATCTTTGAAACTCAATAGATAGAATAAGCGTAATACTGGGAAATCCTTTATTATTCGTTTTTATGATCATAGAAATTCAGTCTTTAAAATTATAATTACCATCGTTGTTAACTAAAAATCATTATTAATAAATTTACCTTCAGTTAAAATATATACAAACAGGCATTGGGTTACATGCAAACAAGTATTTTTTGATATATAAATAACATGCTGTATACATACATATATACAGTACATGTAATGTATATAGTGATTTTATCTTAACTCAGATTACAAGTATTTGAAATATACAAACTGTCACTTATAGAAATTAATGTTCGATATAAATTCTTAATTTGAAAGAATTGATATGTTGGTTAGAATTATAGTCAATTTTGAAGCGAAGATTCGATTGGTGCAAAATGTATTGAGTGAATTTGCTGTTTTTTGTTTATAATCATATTATATCATCGCCACATCAAATTCTTTCTATTTCTAACTTGAGACGCTCTTCTTCTGTAGTACTAGAAATGCAAATTATTCAGTTTGTCTATGCCTCCATTTCTAATAGATTCAACAAAAGCATAAAGTTTCTCAGCAGTTGATATGTTTTTCAATAATAAAGTACATGTATTTAACGACCGTAAATAACCAAAAGTTACATAACACTACATTTTTCTATGAGGTATGCATGCAGTTGAATGCGATCATATGTATTAGAATACATAATTTGTAAGTGCACGAAAGAGATTCTTGACCAAGATTTTGCCTAATCATCTAATTTTTCTTTATCTACGTAATACCGATACGTGTAACTGAAGCCCAAAATGAATATTCAATAGTGATGGGAAATGGTGACCTCCGTAAATACATTAATTCCAATTACGAAAAATTGATTTGTGCCAAATTATGTATAATCTGGGAAATATTCACAAGAGGAGTTTATACATGTACATCGTGAATTTCATCTCGGAAATATATTACTTTTATTGATTTATCGGCCCAGTAATTTAGATAAATCAAAGAAAGAAACTTACAAGTACAGAGCTATTAAATGGAACCGTGCAGATATTTTATATATTTAGATATGAGATTGCAACAGGAGAACGACCATTCGGTGAATGAAGTGACGCGGTCACCCTTAGCAATGACAATTCTAGCAATGACAGCCCTACTTCTGCCTCTTTTTAGCGGTACCATTGCCAGTTCCATATAATGCTGGAGCTAGCTTTTCTGCCACTATAATGATTGGTTTCAGTATCGGGACACTATATTATACAGTATATACGCATGGGTCAATTTTTATTTAGCATTAACATTACTATGTATTCACATACATCTTATCATGTTTTCTTGATATTAGTTACGTATATACATTTAAATGATCAGTCATTTTGAAGATTTAGCAGTATAAACTTATCAATACGATTTGATTTTGTTCAGCTACTATTCTTGTCTGAAAACCGTCTTCACATTAAATACTCCAAAATAATTAATCAAATAAGCTTGACGAAATCTAATACCAGTATCAACTGCAAAAAATTGAAGATATTTAAACTTCATTCGAGATACGACAAATAGAGCATTAATGTTATTACTTTTTAGCAACATGTACCAGATAAAAAACTTATATTTTTTCTGGGATTTGGACCCACAGTATTATCTATTGGTCAAAGATCTTTCTGATAAAACTAATTCTTTATAAATGATTTAATTAGTTAAACTTTCACGTGATTTTATGAAATGGTCAACTTTGTCAAGAACATATATTAAAGCAAGCTTATTTCTATATCACATTACTATTATTTGATGGTTGAATGTACTAATGTTGAATAATAAAATCAAATATAATGTGTGTCACCTTTAATCAAATTTATAACTTTTAATTAGGAAAATTTAATCATAGTTATGAAAGCATGAATGACTATGATTTTACATGAGTTATAGAATTATAAAAACATATAATTTTTTGAGTATATGGTTTCATGCCTCATAGAAATCTCTCAAATTATTTGCCGTTTGCGAACAAAAGACTTTATAGATTATTAATACTCAATCAATTGCTCATATCTTTCAAAATGAATTTTCTTATTTGCAATTAAAAGTTTGATTTTAGAAACTTATTAGAAATTGTGGTTCAATTGAAACCTTTCATTTGTCAAATGATTCCAATTGATTCTCTATTCCTCATGCGAAATAAAGTTTCTTAAAGGTTACAATTTCCATATAAATTCGAAAACTTAAATCAGGTTTATTGAAATTTGACTGCTTTCATAGTTAAAAATACAGTTATGGGTTTTTAAAAATTTTACATCCCAGAATGTTGACAAATCTTCATTCGTCATAATTAATGAGCTGATTTATTTTTCAAATTAAATATTTAAATAATTAAATTTCATTATTAGATCCAAACGTTATAATTCATTTTATTCATAAAACGAAACTTATAGTGACGTAAACAATGATGGCCAATCAAATTCACAAGAAATGCAAAAAAGGTTTATTTTCTTGCTATAATAGTAAGATCCCTTATCGTTATCGCTACATCCTGGCTTTTTCAAACGTAATTGGTAACGATTACTTGGAAAAACCAAAAATAAATTCTTGTGTAATCTGTTAATAGGGTACGCGAATTTTGGTAATGCACAAAATTTTATCAAATTAGCAAAAAAAAAATCCGACACAAGAAATGAAAAATGTGAGAAATGTACATGTATTACGAAAACTGATTTTTAAACCTGTCTTGAAATAATAGAGGGACTGAATCACATGTTTGGAAAACAACTCTAAATGTATTTATTGTTATCGTTGTATGCACGTTATATGTAATGGTTACGCACGTATTTACACAAATAACATGTAAATTTTACGCGCATATTTACTTGAATTAAAATCCTGTACCCGAACATTATTAAAAGCAAAGAAATTTTCTGTTCCCGATCTCTCTGAAGTAATAAGCTTTATTCTTTATTTAGTTTAAATTTCCTCATATTCGTGATAGGCGAAATCACAAAGCGAGAATATGAGAATTTCTGCGAGCAAAGTCAATAAAGCCGCCGAAAAAATTTAATGCAATTAACAATTTGAAGGAACTAAAGAGCCGCTAGAGACGATGATTTTTTTATGAACGAGAATTTAGCAACGTGAGCTATTTTATCTGTGCCTCTACAAAGTCAAGTTGTATATAGAAAACGCATACAACACTTTTATTCGCTGCTGAAGTAACAGTGTCAGGTAAAAATGCTAATTTTCATTCATCAAAAATCACTCTAAGGTAAGGAATAAATATTTCTTTCTTTAGAACTGCTAATTATTAAATTAATGCAAGGAGATAATGGAAAAAGATCTTTCTTCATTTCATTTATAATTCAGAGAACGAAAAAAGAATTATGCAGGATATTTAAAAGGACGGTTAAAGCCTCGAAAGATTTGGTTGTGGGAAAATTTAAGAATAACATTGTCAAAATTTCTTTAAGGATAAATAATTTCTTCAAAACATCATCCACTCCAGTCCAACTCTCGCATTTTCATTTTGTTGTTTAATCGCTTTACGATAATATCGCAGCGCTTCATGTTTATCTTGCATTGTACCAATTCCTTTTTGAAACAACAACCCTAACCGTGCTTCAGCCGACGCTAATCCTGCAGCAGATGCTTTCGAATACCAATAAAATGCCTTTTTCCCGTTGCTCTTTTCCACATCCACCCTACATCCACCAGTCAAATACCAATATGCCAAATTAGACTGACCTAACGGATATCCTTGTTCAGCCGACCGTTTATACCATATATATGCCATTTTTCGATTTCTTGTAGTCCCCAATTCATTATTGTAAAAAAATCCGAGTTCACTCTGTGCTATTGGATCCCCCAACTCCGCCGAGTGATGAAACATTTGAAATGCTCTCTTTATGTCTGACTGTGTGCCGAAACCCCATCTAGTCAAGAATGCTTGAAGGTTTATATGCGCTGGAATGTTATCTTGTGCCACAATTTGCGACAATAAATTGTATATCGCTCGCTTGCTTATTTTTTTTTTGTATGATTGATAATATTCGACGACTCGGTTCAGAATGTTTAAATCTGGCTCCCAATGGTCGCATCCATTTTTGTATAGCTCTAAAATTTCTTGTAATAGAGTTACGACATCCTGCGTGTATTCAGCCTCTATAAAAGTATTTGTTGTGCTTTCCATTTTATTTAAGTCTTGGTTGGTTGGTTGGTTTACTTGCAAGTTGAGTTCATGTATTTATATATAGATCAATAAATAATCACGTATCGGTATGAATGCTGGTTGGTTGGTTTTTATGGCTGATGATGCTAGGTGTCACAAGCACTATTTTAGGAAACTCAATTCGTATCGGTATTACATTGTAAAACTTGAATTAAAAGTTCTTGGAAAAAACCGATACGCAAAATATGCGCACGGTATCACAAATGATTCCCTAAAAATTCATTTTATTGCGATTTTCCATAATCATTCATGGTGATTTTGAATAAAAAACATAATAAATAGGCATGGTGTGTGGTTAAGAGGGGGTTTAGCTTTTGT